CGAGAGATATTGCGTCATGCGTATGATTCTGTGCATCGTGATCCTACACTCACCGTTGACAGGATCTTGGATGTCTCTCGATACTCTCAGGTGGTGAGAGTGGCGGATAGGTCACCCATGGCATTGGTGAACCACGTAGGTCAGCCTCGGATGGCTTTGCCTACGTTGGTCAGTTATCCGGCATCACATGCATATCGTGATGGGGGACCTGGACTACTTTGGGACAGTACCCTACATCAGTTGGTGGAGCCCAACGCTGATGAGAGAGAGCGTGCGATGGGGTTTCAGACTGGTGTGACCGCGGCTTCTTCAGTCTCAGAGGCGTCGCGTCGTCAGGTTTTGGGTCAGGCTATGGACCTGAACTGCTTGACGTGGATTGTGAGCTTGGGTTTGGCCGAGCAACGCCGTTTGCGCGCAGATTTGGTGGTTGTTACACCACTTATTAGCTCATTGCCTACCGGGACGGTAGTGGCAATGGCTGGGGGCGACTTGCGAGATATTCGTCATCCTTGGAGTTCATGGGACGTGACGAGAGGACTTGCGAGAGTAGATGCCCATGTAGTTGGAGATGTTGGTCACGGGAAGGTTGCTACGAAGGAGGGTATAGAGAACCCTTCTTTGGAGGAGGTGTCATAGCAACCAGTGACAGTATCGCCTCCCTCTTGTGGGTCCATGGAGGAGGAGTGGGAGCCATCGATTGGTTCTCAGATCACCGGAGGAGAGAGGCGACGGTTGACACAATTCCTACGTGACTATAGGAGTTGTTTTGCCTTCAGTATGAAGGAGTTGGGTACTTTGATTGGACCCGGCATACGGATAGAGTTGGCTAGTGATACGCCAATCTTCCGTCGTCCCTATCGATATAGTGATATGGAAAGGGACTTGATTCAGAGTCGGACATTGGAGTTATTGGAGGCTGGGTTAGTGGAGTTGTCGCATGGTGAGTATGCTTCAGCCACTGTTATGCCAGCGAAGAAGGATGTACATGGCAACTACACGGATAGGCGGATGTGTGGAGATTACCGTCCTATCAATCGGCAGACGAAGGCCGATAAGTATGCCATGCCTACACCTGAGGAGATCTTCGATGTAGTGGGACATGCGAGGATTTTTAGTACTTTGGATCTTCGGGCGGGATACCATCAGTTGCCGATTCGGGAGGAGGACAAGGCCAAGACAGCGTTTTGGGGTGTCAACTCCCACGGCAAGGATTGTTTGTACCAGTGGCGATTCTTACCCTTTGGGTTGAAGAATGCACCTGCCGAGTTCCAGAGAGTGATGGACAGGATTCTAGCGGGGCTAGATTTTGTCAGATGTTACATTGATGATATCTTGGTGTTTAGCGACACGGTGGAGCAACACCAGATACATTTGCAGATTGTGCTTGAGCGGTTGAGGGCTCATGGTCTACGGTTACATCCTGGGAAGTGTAGGTTCTTCCAGGAGAAGGTGGAGTACTTGGGTCATGTGATCTACCCAGGTGGTTTGGGAGTTCAGCAGGCAAAGGTGGAGGCTATTGCGCGCATTCCTCGTCCGGCGGATGTGAGTAGGGTTCGTGCATTCATGGGTTTGGCGAACTATTACCGGAGGTATGTGAAGGGATTCAGTGCTATAGCAAAGCCTTTGAACCAGTTGCTGAAGTCGGATCAGGAGTGGCAATGGGGAGATGAGCAGGAGAGAGCTTTTGTTGAGCTCAAGGCCAGGTTGGTGGCCGCTCCCATCTTGAGGAGACCTATCAGAGGTCGACCATACCAGTTGCACACTGATTGGAGTATGTTGGGACTTGGAGCGGTGTTGACGCAGTGTGATGATGAGGGCAAGGAGTTTGTGATTGCGTACGCTAGTCGTTCGAACAATGCAGCAGAGTCGCGGTATAGTTCGTACGAGGGAGAGTGTTTGGCAGCGGTGTGGGCTGTGGCACACTTCAGGTGTTACTTGTTTGGTACGCAGTTTACTCTTGTTACCGATCATCAACCGCTCAAGTGGTTGATGGAGTCTGACAAGCTCACAGGGAAGCTTGCACGGTGGGCTCTCATCTTACAGGAGTATGACTTTCAGGTGGTGCATAGGCCTGGAGTTGCGAACCTGGATGCCGACGGTTTGAGTCGGAACCCATGCACTAGCCAGGATGATGACACTGGAGCTAGGTGGCATGGTGAGGTTGATGAGGAGATGGTGCCCGGTTGGCATGCATCGGCCTTCATGTGTTGGTTTTGTGGGGCCTCTAGCAGTGAGGACCACTTGACATCTTACTCTAGTCAGAGAGTAGATAGTCAGTCTTCGGATCCTGAGGTTGAGGATGGTGGTGTGGACCAGCGTGATGTTCACGATGATGCGTTGGTGTTGGAGTTCCTACGGACCAGTATGGTGCCAGGCACAGTGGGTGCCAAGGAGCGAGATCGTGTTCTCCAGAGGGCGAAGAGATATCGATTGGAGGGAGCACATGTTCTCCGAGTGTGGGAGGACGGTAGGGTACGGGTAGTACCGCATCCAACTCAGAGAGCACGCATTGTGAGGCATGCTCATGAGGAGTTGGGACATTTTGGAGTGAAGCGTACGTACAGCTTACTCCTAGGTCAGTATTGGTGGCGTGGTATGCATACGCAGGTGCAGCAATTGGTATCACGTTGCATGGTTTGTGATCGAGTGAGGGCATCGTTCAATGCCCCGACACCAGAGTTACATCCCTTACCTATCATGGGATTGGGTTACCGTTGGAGTTTGGACTTTGCTGGACCACTACCTTTGACTACACGACATCATCGGTATGTGTTGGTGATGGTGGAGCATTTCTCCAAGTGGATTGAGTTGGTGGCATTACCTGACAAGGCGAGTGAGGGAGTAGCATATGCTTTCCTTGACAGGGTGCTTAGTCACTTTGGTGCACCAGCTGAGGTGTTGACCGATCAGGGGACAGAGTTTCAGGGTGAGTTTCAGGTCTTGTGTGACAAGACGCTGATTGATCACCGGACTACTTCCCGAGATCATCCAGAGGCGGATGGTTTGGCTGAGCGGATGGTACAGACGGTGAAGAGAGCGTTGCGCAAGTATGGCCTACAGAAGGGGCATCTTGGGGACTGGGATATTCAGTTACCATGGTTGGCCATGGGATATCGATTCAGTCGTCAAGCATCCTTGGCTTCGTTTTCACCATATTTTCTATTGTACGGCCGATATCCAGACTTGCCTGCAGCGATTCGGCGTGAGTCTAGCGAGGTGGTGAACCTTGATGATCCAGATATGTGGGTGAGAGTGTGTTCGCAACGTGCAGTGCTCTTTCGGAGAGTTATGCCTGCAGCGTTTGAGAACCTTGCGATTGCTCAGCACCGAGATACGTTGCGGTATGCAACTATTCGAGGAGGAGGTTATCGACCATCGATTCGTAGGTTCCGCGTGGGAGACTACGTCTACCTACAGCAGACTGCACCGACTACGTTGGATGTGACGGCAGGACGCACTATCCTGCGAGTGCGAGAGGTGTTACCGTCTGGAGTTCTCATGTTGGAGGGTCGTGACGGTGTCGTTTGGAAGGATCATGTGCGCAACTGTGCGCCATGCCACCTCCCAAACGTGGATGGTACTATGGACCCAAGCTTGGCGATTGTACGTGCCGGCTTGAGGTGCATGTTATGTGGGTCAACTGATCAGGCGGCCCATATGTTGGTGTGTGATAGGTGTTCTAGGGGATGGCACATGTCGTGCTTGACTCCACCTATCGATGTTATTCCTACTGGACGGTGGGTTTGTCCTCGATGTACTTCAGAGGGTAGATGACTTGATCTTCACATGTTATGAATTGCAGATAGGCGACTAACGATGGGGCGACATAGCACCCGGCCTACTGGTTCGCGCATCCACGAAGGTGCATAGCATGTAGTTGTAGATAGGGCTACCTGGGAGTCACAGGGACCTGACCGCCAGCTAGGGGGGCGAGTTGTGATACCTTTGTGTGTGGACACTCTCGTTCCTTGTGTATGTATGTGTGAGTTGGGAGTAGAGCATGTCAGCGATGTATGATGTATGGCGATACTGAGTCGCACGACAGCTGTCATGGCTCGAGACGTTAGTGTGGATTTGAGTGTAGACACGTTAGGACGCGGTACACGTTGGGACGCCCTGCACGTTGGGACGCCATGCACGTTGAGGTCGTCGACACCTTCCGTGGGTTATATTCGAGGCGAGCTCGAAGAACTGTCAGTTCTTCGAGTTGAGCCTTTTGCGTAGGGATATGTCAGTCCCGCTAGCTTCGACTCTATGTCTCCTTTGGGAGTGAGTTTGGCTCGACTCTTTGTATACTTGTGTTTCGACAGTGATTTTAGTTGTGATACCTTTGTGTGTGGACACTCTCGTTCCTTGTGTATGTATGTGTGAGTTGGGAGTAGAGCATGTCAGCGATGTATGATGTATGGCGATACTAAGTCGCACGACATCTTGTCTATAGGGACCAACAATGAAGGAGAATATATATATACAGCACAGAGCAACTAACCTCCTGTTAGTTGCTCTGTTCTGATCTGAAACCACGTTTCTCTTCTTGTAACGAGGCAAGTTCAGATCGTGCATGCTGTTGAAGTATTTTCTATTATAGAGGAGCTGACGTGGAGAATAGGGGTGAAATCCGGTAGGATGAAATCCCAGGTAATCTGCTCCATCTTTTTTCTGGTCACGATCACCATTTTATGTCTGGTGGATATTCAAGTGCGAAGAGGCATTGAATTTAACCAAAAGTTCCAAATTCAGATCACTCTTGGGTTCTTGAAGCGTCCACATTGGTCAGTAAGCGATTCATAATTTCTGCCTCATACTTTATCGTCCATCATCCATTCCATACTGCCCTCCAAACTTTTCCTAGTCGTAGAATCAGCTCACCGACGTTCTTCAAATTTCTGTCTACTGAAGTCCAAGATGATGTTACTGAACAGTCAATAGTTGATGCAATTTGCTAGTAGCAAAGTTTGACGCTCTGTACCACACTTTGATAACAGTAGACGACGGAGGTTGGTATGAACATAGGCAAATATTATACGAACTTGGAATTAGGAAAGAATTGTGATCAGAAAAATGGCGCAGAAAATGATCAGTACATGTGTTTGCTCCTGAGTTCACACGTATGGCTATAGATTCTGCAAATTACGCTAATAATTTGTACGCTGGTTATTGTACATGAACGCGATAGGGATGCTGATTCTGATTTTGCTGGTTCTGATGGAGATAATTTTTTCTTCATCGTCTCTTAACTGTTTCATCTCTTATCTCCATTCCTCATCTATTTCGTCCTGGCTGGTATGATGTACCCGGTTTTGGCGACTGATATTCTATCGTCTTTTCTTCCTCTATCTTAATGAACTTTTCACCTTTCCTCTCGAGGAAGTGGCCTTCTCCGGCTCCTGTAATTACTAATTTCCATCTTGTTGTACACCTGTACAATACCTTTCATGATGTTTTACACGTCGTTCGCTAATCCTGATCCTCAAGATTACGCTCTATGCTCTCGTTCGTAGCTTGAATCCCCATTTGTTAACCAGCTTCTAGTTGACTGCGGCAATATGCAGTTGTAATTCCCATTTCAAATTTTGCGACAGCCTCTCTTGAAGGACCGGCTAAATTCGAGCTCATTTTCACACCTCCGATCGTCACGGGTGCCTTGCAGATTCGGATCTGTCCAGAGGGAGTTTACTATAATCTAATCAGTGTTTACTCTTCATCCCTCCACCGCGTTCACTACTGTAAATTTTGCACAGTTCCCTCGGTAACAATAGCCTCTCTGTCGTTTCCGCCTCCGAGCTCTGATTCGGTTGCACATTCTCCATCCATCTGCGCTTCATATTATCATACACCTTCCCTGGACTCGAGAGATTCCCATGTTTTAGTCACAACCTGCACTCGACGATCGAGACATTCGCTTCTGAACTCCTGCTTTTCGACCCTCAGGTCCCATATCTGCATCGGCAGCCACTCACTGCTACCCTCGTTCGGCCAGCTTTCCTGATACCATTGTTTACCATCTCCTGATCAATTTGAAATCAATTGTATACAACTTTCCGCACAATCGAGCCTCCCGAGTTTCTCGACCCTCGGGTCCCATACCTACACCGGCAGCCACTCACAGCTAGCCGCGTTCGGCCTACTTCCCCGATACCATTGTTTACCACCTCCAGATCAATTTGAAATCAATTGTATACAACTTTCTGCACATATTCGCCTCCACGTGCAGCAGATTTGATGTGACGCAATCTGAAAGTGACAGCTTCCGGCCAGGCTGCGACTGCACTGCATCCTGCAAGTAATCGAACTCACTCATAATCATTCGATGGCATTGCCGGCCTGCCAGCATTTCAATCGATCCCGGTCTCAACCGAAACAGGCACACCCCAACGAAAGTTGGTGCTCACAGTTGGTGCTCATCAATCATCGAAGAATCTCGCGGTTCGAGAGCTGGTGTGGCTCTTTGTCGCCCACTACTATTCCTACGGCACACTTGCGGCTCTATCTACATAATCATCATCATTCGTAAATGTTGGCAGTGTAGCATCTTCCGTAGATGTCTTCCCTGCTAGCGAGCGCGTTCGGACGCGGTCCGACTTCATCCGAGATGCATCGACGGATTAGGAGGATGATTACTTGACGACAAGGCAGCGGCGGCTTGCAGAGCTGATTCTGGCGACTGTGAAGACAGGGCCATTTGCTGGGCGACTTGCATCTTCTGCTGCGCGATGGCAGCCTGCTCAGCTGCTTCCTGCAAAGCGCAACGAGGACATGCGTTACCATCGAGCTTCCTCATCACCCGACCCGACCACGTCGCACAATTTCCAAGAGATTTTCAAAGCAGCCATCAGAAGCCAAGCCACCACCGGGAATCGTCATTACCTGCTGCGCGGCGGGATTCTGGGCTACGGCGGCAAGTTGATGGGCTCCGGCCATCTGAGCCTGCGCTTCCGCCGCAGCATTGTTTGCAGCCTGTAGCACCATTTCTTGGGCAGTCACGGCTTGCAAGCGGATGTCTACAGGCACCGGACCGATGCCTTGTGGCGCACTGGCAGCTGCAAAAGAACCACATCCACAATCAGAGGAGGGCGAGTCAAGCAAGAGCTTGAAAGAACGACAATGAATTCGAGATCATTTGCAATTCATAATCGTTCATGAGACGAAGACATTGCTATCTTTGATTTACCTGGCGAGCTGCTCGGAGGGAATCGTGTGCGCGATTCGTCGTGATGATAAAGCAGTGGAGGTTGCTGCTGCTGCTGCTGGGCGGGGCAGAAGGCAGCCAGCGCATTTTTGGCGGCTTCCCGGGCGATCGAATGCTGATCGAATTGCTGCTCCGACAAGCCTTTCTGCGCTTGGGCAGCTTCCTCAGCAGCCTGCTTGGCAGCCATGACGGCCACCTGGTTGGCCGTCTCGTTCTGCGCCACGAGCTGCTGGGTCACCTGCTGCGCTTTCTCCTGAGCGACGAGCTGCTTCGCGTACGCCCGCTTCACCGCGTCCTGTGCGTCCTGCTGCGCCTCGAGCGCCTGCCTCGCGGCATCTGCTGCCTGCCCACACACACACACGACGATTGTGCACAACATCCATCATCAGCATCCCCTTCGAATTCCCTTCCTTGCGAGCCGGCTAGCGCAATCATCATCCAGATAACAAAAACAAAGTCTTTCGATCGATTGATGGTCACCTGTTGTTCCAAGGCAGCGACATTACCTCATCTTGTGCACTGGGAGGCCTCCTGGGTTCTTCGTGCGTCTCTTGTGTCGGCGTGGTCGAGGTGTTCTCAGACTGAGATTGCCCCTGCTCCTGTTCCGAATTCTGCGTGCGCTGCGGTTGTTGATCCGACATTTTCTGGTCTGACATTGGTGTCGCTGAGAGCTAGAGCTGTTCTATAATACCTGCCAGTGTGAGCGCGAGTGCAGGTGAGAAGCTCGTCGCGGGGCAAAATCTGAGACGGTCGAATAACAATTTACGCATGCATGAAGGAGATGATGCTTCGAAAGCAGTGGCTGGCTCACCTCGATCGAAATCACATGTAGGCGAACACGGAGTAGTCATCGAGTCTTCGCAACATAATCAGCCTCACATTTCTGGGGAACGGTGCGTCGCGCACTACTTGGCCTAGAATTCTGCGCATCATTATGATATACTCCTGAACCATGGCTGCGACGACCGCCATCAACAGCATGTCTCCGCTCCCGGATCCCCTTCTCAAACCACAAAGTCCAGCCTTTCGAAACACAGCCACAAAATCCGCAATTTCGACCGAAGCTCTATCAGACGGAGAACGCCTTCTCCTGAGTCAAATCGGTCGGTGACCAGCTCTGCTGGCACACAAAAACAGAGCGTAAATTCCAGCACCTAGCGAGGCGCTGTTGCCCTTCACGTGTCACACATCGAGCTACAACTGCAAGCGAAATGAAAGCGAGAACTGCAGAAGGATCGATTGAATGAAAGTACCCCGACTACTCGCTCGCTCCCACCGCAAGCTTGTACGAACGCACACCAGAAACAGATTTGTCAATTTCTTCTTCGAGGAGAAAATGGAACGACTCTAGTCTCTCCACGAATAAAATCCCTCCCTCTCCAACCTGGACGCCCAACCAAGAGGACCGACGGATACACAGAGCCAGACAGGTCCAGCAAACACCGAACTCCTGCACAATTATTACCCCCAGCCTTGCGGGCGAGCACGGAGGGTATAAATGCTATCGAACTGAACGCCCCGAAAGCTCTCGCACGTGAAAGAATCAGCCTTCACCTCCAGAAGCAAAGCAAAGCAAAGCGAAGGAAGCGGAACCAAACCAAACCACTCCACTCCAAAGGCACACGCTTGTAAATTACAAGAGGGCAAAAGCCATGGAATTTCCTGCGATGGCAGAAAAGTTACAGAGTCTGGGACTGCGAATGTGCGTGCACTAAAGTAGTCCTGGCCTCGTGCCTCTCGCAGTCGGCGGTCTCTGAGATGCCGCGATTCGCAATCGCAACCGCGCAGCCGACTGCGATCACCCAAGGGATGGAATGGCGACTTCTACTGCGGCCGCGGCTCCGGACCTCGTGATAGCTTGCCACTTCAGCTCGCGCTCGCTCATGCGGTTGACCGCGATCAGATAAGGTTGGTGCCGGTCTGGTTCCGTTGGATGGTGGATCTGACGGAGGAGGCTCGAGGTGGTCTGGTGAGGGTGGCGGGATTGTGCGGGGCGCCTTTACGTGTCGCTACCCGTCGATGACATGGGGATCTCCAAGTAGATGCAGCCCTGGATCTCTTGTCCACGTGCAAAAGTGCATGGAGAGATACACGTGGCAGGAAGTTGTGCCATGCCGCGAATGAGGCTGTCTTACCTTGAAGCGCGGTCTCTGTGATGGTATGCGAGTCCCCCGCTGGGACCGCTGTTTTAGGGCTTCGGTCGGACTTAACTGTGAGCTCGTACTGTGCATCCCTCTGGACTTCTCCTAGTCAGCTCTGGCTTCTGGTCTTTATCCTCAGACTCTACTGATCATGTATTCCATCCTCGGCCCATCCTTCCTTATCATCGCATGAAACCTCCAATTTTATTATTGAAAATTAGTGCACCAAATCATAGAGCATGAAGGATATCGACAAGACCGAGTTTGTCCTCAATATCTAGGTCACGCCAATCATATCAAGAATCATCATCTGATGGGGTTGTTATTACATTAAACCATCTAGTGTTATAATTAGGGAGATCTGTACGTTAGAGTATACAAGAACACCAAGAAATTGATTTTCGATTTGCGTAACATGGCAGGCTATTGAGTGATTGTACCGAGTCTGCGATTAATGTCCTAACCTGACGCCATTAACTTCTAATAGAGTAGCATCAACTTTACCCTGTACTTCAAGATGTTGGTTTCGGGTGTATGATTTGTCAACTCGTGGATGAAGTTACATATTGTGAAAAAATCGGATGTGAAGTTTGCAAGAGATCTTAACATCCAATTCTTTAATATCAAATTGTTTTTATGCTGACTTTCTATCATTGCAATATATCTCTTAGTTTTTTTAAAACTAAGAGATAGATTTATTGGTTCAAATATTCTTAAAGATAAATATAAATAATAAAAAAAAACTGAAAAACTAAACATCAAAATCATAAATCTAATAACTCTCTTGAAACTTCAATGTTATCTCCATAAAGTGTTGTAAGATATATCTATCACACTAAATTAAATAGCACAATAAAAAACTCAGAGTAAATGTCTAATATTAGACATTATATTTAGACTGTAAATTTTGACTTAATAATCTTTACATATTTTTTCCTCATATTTTATTGTATGAATCAATAGGTATAAAATAATGAAACGAATAGAATGGTCTTTTTGTTCCCATCTTTTGCAGAAATATAACCTTACCATCCTTGGAATCTACTGGAGTTCACCTTCACTACTTTATGCTTTTCTCTATTCTCATTTGTAAATATGTAAATCATACAAGGGATTGAATTTTTGAGAAACTTGAGTATGCAGAGGAGAAGCAATGATGTGAAGACAATGAAATAAGATATAATGTGTAGGAGTTGTGAAGACAATGAAATAAGATATAATGTGTAGGAGTGAGAGAGACTCAAAGGTATGCAGTCATGACGAGTTCTCGCAGAACTTAAACATTCAACGAGTGAGTTTGCCAACAACAACGCTTGCATCTTCCCCTGTTTCAATGCATAAATCATACACGTATGAAACTACTCCCGCGGGAATCTAACAATTCCACAATATTTTGCGTTGCAGAGTTGGCTGACTAGTCAATCTAGCTTAGTATTTTTGCATTGTCTACATTGCAGTGATCGCCCTCCTTATTTCATGCCACACACACACACTCTCTCTCACTGTTTTGTTTCTCCTCTGCTTCGATCACATAGTTAAATGGACCAGGTATGCATCTCTTTGTCAAGAGATAATTCTAGCGGCTAAAGTGGATCAGAATTTGTTGTAGAGTTTATCAACACTTCCGATGCTCTGAAGAAAACTATGGTAGATAAGAATTGCCAGCAGGAAAATTGCCGTCTTCAAGAACATTCTTTCTGATATGTTCCGGTTGGCGATACACGGTCTAACACCTTGTGATTGTAACTATTCACTTCTTTGGAACAACCTTTGCTTGTAATATTGTGTGTGTTACTGAATTCTGCACAGGGCATAAACACCTTTGAACATGCTCCAACATCAAGTTCTGAAGTCAATAAATGTTGTAGTCAACTGCCATTTGATATACCTAATCATTAGGCATACAACTGTCGTTGTATATCAGTTTATGACTAGTCCTCGAATGTTCGATACGTGTACAGCAACATGGAATGAAGTAATGAATGGCGAGGCCGAAAAGTTTGCCATTTTTTTAATGCATTCGTCTTTGCTGTCCTAAATCGTCCTTACGTCTTAGATTGCGTTTATGAATTGAAGAAGCTTTGCAATGCCATTGAATGAGCGACAATGAAAATCTGGAAATGAGATTTTAAAGGAACAGGTATGCACGTACAGAAGCAGGTCCGACTATATATATATATATATGGGAGCACCAGAGGAGAAGGGACAAGTGTCAAAACGTCTCAGTTTTGAAAAGTTGTATTTTTTATTGACACTTTTCTTCTCACGAAAGGGAAAGTTTGTGCTCCCTTAAGAGTGTAATCTGACGAGTATCGCAGGAGAAGAAGGAAACATTCTTGCCACATTCTAGGGCTACACTTCTGCTGCCTCCACAGTTTCATGCTCTTGATTTTAATATAATCGTGCCCTTGCCACTTCCTCCTCCGTGTTAAACATAAGTTCATGTTGTCCTACAACGTCAGATCCATCGTTTGAGGAAGAGATTTACTTCACAGAACAGAACACATGTCAGCAGATTGTAAAGGTGAGAGTTCTATGGAGAGCAGAGAATGGAGCCGTCTATATATTTAGATGTAGATATCCCAAATAGCAGGACTGTGGTGCACCTGAATACGGGCAAAGTTTGTACCACATGATATATTAAGCATAGCCTAACAGTAGGATCGACACCGTAAAGATGTATACTAAAACCATGAACTACTGCTAAAAATGTGCTGCTTTCTCTGTCATCTGCGATACTTCACAAGGATCAAAGTACCACGAGTCATTCCTCCCCAGTATGCACCTAGCACAAAACAAGTCGCGCAAGCTAATTTTATTAAAATCACGTCGGCACAGGGACACCCCCTTTTCCCAGGTGGGGTCTAGACCTTTGACATGGCACATGAGAAGAATCATCATCAATTGTTGAACGCGTTCCGTTGAAACCTAAGCTATTTGCCTTAATCATGCCCAGGTACACATGAATTCAAGGTGGAAGCGGGGCCAAGTGGATGGAAAAAATGATGGGAAGACCATGGAGGGATCCGTACGAGGAAGAAAACGAACGGGAATAATATAAATTTACAGAGCACAGAGAGAGAGAGAGAGAGAGGAATGACGTGGACCCTGTTTGTATGTTTTCAATTTGCCATGCAGGGCGTGTAGGAGGTCTGAGGACATTCCAAACCCATGACCAGTGTTCCCTGGACAAGTTCTTACTTCAGCAGAGAGGCGTCAAGAGTCCAAAGAGTGCAGCTGGAAAACTGGACCAGGTTAACTGAGCTGACAAGCATGGAAGTTTCAAGCATCCAGAAGTGCGCACTGCTGATAAGTTCAAGCACATGCCCACCCCACTGTGCTTACACTGCTAGGGACAAACGTAATTGAGCTGCAGTCATCCTTTGGCCCCGAATCCGAGACCAGAAACACTGCGACGTTCCTATCTATCCAATGATGAATGAATCTACTAAGTTACGACTGGGGGGCGGAAAGCAGGGTGAAAACCATAATCTCACCTGTAGCATTTATGACATCAATACTGTATCTCTCCGGCTTGCAGCATGAGTGAGACATCAATCGAAAAACATCACGTACATGAGAAAAAAGTTGGACTCCTATGAGATTCTACGAAGTATATTATCGAGGTAAATCGCAGATGGTGCCTCGCCATGAGCTGTACTGTACCGGGATTGCTCTTCTGTATCATCTCGCGTCATCATTGGTCAGGGAACTCACTGCAAGTAAGCAAGAACTCCAGTGAGCAGATTGTATGCGTACATGTAAACCGTACACGCTTCTGGTTTCTATAAGGAAGTGAAGGCTACGTAAAACCACCGGATGTCTGATACAGTCAAAGCGCAACAACATGGGAACTTAGTGGGAGGCCAAGTACAGTAATGGAGCGAAAAGCAAGGGAAGACCCCATCAAGCCGTACATAGATGAAACCTGGCGGGTAACATGGGCCCCGGCACCAATAGCATCACTATGGGGAAAATGTCCTCTAGCGGGCTCTTGGATTGGGTCACCTGAATTGGAAGTTGCTTCTTTTCGAACCAGAAATCCAAGGCAGAAGTGAGACTTTCCAGCAAATAGAAATCACTGCACTCAAGCTCAAAAGCAGGACAGCAGAAATGAACAGGCTTTTTGCCACTACAACTGGATTACTGAAATTCCGAAAAGAGACCTTGACTCTTGAAATATGAACAGGCGTAAGAAACATGGATCGACTTGCTCCCGCCCTTCGAAAACCAAAGGCCAAATTGTTGGGGATACACTTCAGTACACGGAGACTGAAAAAGCGAAATTGCTGGCTCTTCGCGACTCCTAAGAGTGCACTTGCAATCAT